GGTTAAGGCCAGTTGTGTAACTTACACACGAGTTTTCTGCATTACCATAACGGTTCCCATAGACAATAGAGTCGCTACTGCGCATGTCACAGTTTTGATATGCGGCTACTTTCAAACGCTGTGGGAAAATAGAACTACGATGCTACAGCCTTGACAGGAGTGCGACTATTAGAAGATTTCTGAAGTCTTACAAGCTGGTATTAAAGTGATGTGTAAATTTACTGTCCAGACTTTAGTACAGTGTGGAGGAAATACAGTCTGAAGATTTATGTTCTTACTGTTCAGATGTGAAGCTGGACTTATTTGCAAGAATAATATTATATGAAAACAAAATCAAATGTTATCCACTGAATAAAATAAATAATAAAATATATTAGATTTATATATTATTTATATTCTATATAGATAATAAATTCGTTTTGGGATGTTTCGGGATTTTTGATCTTTTCAGAAATTTGGATGCAACAGAAAATAAGTCCGAATGATAAATTGTTGTAAACAATGTAGTGCCTGAATTCTTTTGCCTTCTGAGTGGAGAAAATTATTTTTCTTCTTTGTGTGTAGTCAAATGTTAATTTGAATAGTGGAGGTGGAAAAAAAGTTCGGACATTTTTTTTGCACTCATCACTTTTTTTTAAAGAGATGATTGTGGTAAGAGTTCCTGATTGTCCCTGAAGGCAGCAAAGGTAAGCCCTGCCCTCCTAGCCGGCTGCTGCAGCGGTGCGTTCATGGGACTTTTTCCGGAGTGTTTGAAAGTTGTCAACAGAGAAGCAGAGGAAGGAGCAGGAGATCAGCGGCTTTAACGGGACTGTGGAGCTCGGAGGAGGAGGAATGGGCTGCACTCAGAGCAAGGTGAGACACACGGGCAGGAGACACTCGCGGACCCCGCCGGCACAGCTCTGCTTTGTCTTCTGTTTTTCTGCCGCCGGAGGTTCATTAACAGGCGGTCGGCGGCGGCGAGACGTGCCGGGAATGAGCGGAGGGGAGCGGACTGTGTGTCCGCGGCACAGGCATCGTCTTTACCCAAGTTTAACCGAGTCACAAACACGGCGGCAAGTGGAGATTTGGCGCTAAAATGTGGGGAAAACAGCGTTTTCCTCGTCCTGAACATCTGTTTCTAATCTTGAGTTTGAGTTTTCCCACGATGCTCCTTTCTAAGCAGTGACCTCAGACACATTCATTTAGAAACTTCTCTGAAATCCTCCAGTGTGCAGATAAAGTGAGTTTATTTACGAGCTTAAAGCAGCTTTAAGCTTTTAGCACCAAAACGTGCTGCAGTGAGCTCGACTTCCCTCCGTGAGCCTCACTCAGCTGAGAGGTTTGATTTAAAAGGAGAAGTTTACATCAGTTCAAACCAGCTGTGCTCACGGGCCACAAACGGTGGCTCAAACCAGCACAAACCAGAGCACAAAATGCTAAAAACACCTTTCTGCTCATTATTTTATCGCTGCACTCCGATAGAACTGCTTTGCATCACTCACAGTTCAATTTAATGCCTATTTATCACTCCCCGGGCCTTTGAATTCATCCTTTCTTCTGATAGGCTGCCCCTCACAAACAAAAAGTTTGAAGAGTTGGAGTTGGACTAATGTGCCTCAGATGACCACATTGGGCATAAGATGATACTTCCTAGAGGAAATGGCAGTGAAAACTCCAAATATTGTTCCGTCTTTCTTTGCAGAACCCTTGTTCGGGTCGTGTCGGACTCTCGGTCGGGATGTTTCTGAGTTTGCGGCTGCAGTTTTTACACTTTCTGAGCTGTCGACTCGTTCACCTCCACGTGCGGCTCAGCTGTTGGTGCTTAATAGTCTCTGTGTGTGAATCTGCGGCGTTCGCCCATCTTGTGGCTGTAATTCTGCCCCACTCAAGGGTAAAAGTGAAGTTTGCCAGCTGTTGTCTTCCACTGGTTATTGATAGAAAGTGACAGCGCCACTAAAACTTCACACAGTGTCTCTTGTTGTCCCGCCTGCTTGGACTTTGATATCACTGAAGCTGAATCCACTCTGATCCTTTCAGCGAGCAGGTTGCAGCATTTTTCTGAAACTGAGAGGAAGTTTATCAGCATTTTGCTTCCTGCAGAGATTCAGAGAAAAAGATTTCCAGCTCCGTACTTTTGTTTTTGGACTGTGTTAGAGTAACTTTGCACAATTTAAAGTTACCCTTATTTATCCTATACTGGCCCTTGATGCATCCTTTACCCGAAGCAAGATGTTTTAGCTCCTCCCCTTTAAGGCTTGACTCAATTTATGTGGCACAGTGATGTTAACTGCTAATTCTGAGATGGGACATGCACATTTTTTGGTCACATCTATGTCCGTCTTTTATTTACAGTCTGTGCTCATGTCCACCTACAATCGTAGAAACGCCGACACTTTTTATAGCATCGAGTAATCAACAGGAAATGTGATGACATCATATATTTCCCAAACTTCGTGTGGTATCTGCTAATGTGGGGACCGCAGGACCGCCCCAGCTGCTATTGGACAATACAGATGTTTTGGCTTTACCTACCTTTGCATTTTGTGTTTAGTGTGACTGATTGACCAGCTGAGACATTTAGACTTTTCCATCCGATTGATCCGACTAATGGAGCTCCTGGTATCGACGAGCTGCAGCTGAAGCCTTCGGTTGGAGCTTCAGAGTGATAACGCTGAAGTTGATGGATAATTTGATGTTGATCCTGGTTTAAATACCTGCCTCGGGCACATTGCTCCATCGCAGAGGCGGCTGAAGATGCTGTTGCATAACACAAAGCCGAGTAAATCTTTGATTAGCTCAGAATAGAAAGAGGCGTGTCAGAAAGGCTCAGAGCCTGAGGAGGAAATCCACACTCACACTGACGGCTTTAATAGCATTTCAGATTGATTGCTGCTCAAATACCACCTTCCCCACTAACATCCACAATGATTTATGAATGATTCCTATAACTGTTGTCAGTCGCAACATTTCTGCTTATTTTAATGTTTTTTTTTAAATAAAAATAAAATGGATTTTCTATCAGCAGTTAAAGTTGTGAACACAGTTTGGGATTGAAATCTCTTTAAGCCTGCTGTGCGTCCACACAGCGATATGGAAACTAAAAATCGTAGCTGCAAACCCCTTTGAAACCCTACACTGTAACACGATGTTGTGCAGTGACTGCGATTGGTCCATTTGGTCCCATCGTTTCTTCCTGTTTCCGCCTTCTTTACTGCTGCCGCCATTTTTCAAATGGACTGGAAGGGAACAGCCGGTGGTGACATTGCAGAGTCACTGCGGTATCTGTGCTCGCTATGCTGAAGGCTGTATACAGAATCACTTGTGTGACTGGCAACAGTGCCGTCCCACGCTAGTTCACGGCTAAAACAGGTGAAATGTGATTAAACTAACCTTTAATTTGTATCGGTAATTACATAATGTGACACCATATGTGTACAGCGTAAAAAGCCAACATTCGAAGTATGATTTGGTGATTGAAGAATGTGATTAATGTAGACTGCAGGCTCTTACATAAACACAGTACGTACGGACCTTATTTAACCTCGTCTGTTTTCTTTCTTATTGAAATGAGAGCGCCGTATTGACAAAGTTATGGAAATAACCGTGAATAAACTGTTAAGGACGTCCATGTAGGAAGCATTTCGCTCAGTGAGCATCGCATTGTTGCTCACAATTTTACGCTAGCAACCAGTGAGCTTTCCAGGGTGTGGTTGTCTAGGTAACCGTGCATTTACTGCTCTGTCACGCGTAAATCAGCAGTATTCTTCACTCATTGGTGTCAGCTGCGTGCCTCACAGTGGGCAAATTACCTTAGGACCGCCCAACTGCTTTATGTTGCTGAACGTCAGCGACTCTCTACGGTCTTTGGTCACCACGTCACTGCTCTTCACTGGACGCCTCTTTAGCACGGCTGGTATCTGTCTGGTACGAGTGTTAAGTTAACAAATTTGGAGTCATTCTTCTTTTTAAAATGAAAACATGACAAACATCTGAGAATGTAAACTAGATTTATAAGTAAAATAAGTTAAGTTCGTTAGTTGCTCCTTTCTCTGCTCTGTCTCCCTGCGTGTGCACCTCCTCACACACGGAGTGGAGCAGCCAGAGGAAACGTTCAAAAGACGTTGGAAACAAAGTAACCACTGAGCCTTTTAATCGACTCGTTGTAGCCTCGGACACAAAGAAGAGATCTGATGCATGTAAAGGTGGCTGATTAAACCAGAGTGCTTCTGCCTGACAACAGTAAAGTTGAATGTGTTTATTGGTTTGTGATGGGTGGTGGAGGGAAACAGCTGAAAGGACATTTTTCTGGACCTTTGAGCTTGTTGATCAGGTGATTTTGATTATTTATTTATTTATTTATTTTCTTTGACCTTTAAAGGTTTTTATACCAGTAATGAGTGCCGCTCCTCGCTGTGGGTCAGAGAGGCTTCTCAGACTGAATCTTATAAAATCTTTAATCCTAAACACATTTTACAGTCCGCGTGAAGGCCTCGTGGTGAATCCACAGCTGTGATTGTTGGAAACATGTCAGTAGCTGTTGCACCTCTATTCAAATATATTCAAACCTCTGACTATTAATGCCGCTCGTGTTGCTGCTCTGCTCACGTGCAGTTTGTTTCTCACCTTTGGTCTTTTTGTTCGCACCCGTCCAGTTGTTTCTACCAACAGATGGTGTGGCGGTTACAGTTTTCCACCGTCTGGACTCCAGACAGAGCAGACGGTCTGTTTTAAAGATGACAGGAGAAGAGTAACGTGGGTGGAGGAAGATGTTTTGGAAATAAGAGTTGGCAGGACTCGAAGCTTAAAACTCGAATACCTGAACGCACTTCTGCTTGTTTGGTTTCTGCTCCCCCTCTGTGTGAACTTTATAACCTCTGCAGTAAAACTATCAGTTCACCACATGAGCTAAAATAACAGGAACTAATGAATACTGATGAATTCAGCTTTGAACCACTGGTAAAAATGTCAGAAGGAATAACAAATATCTGGATTCTGTTTTTATCTACACAGAATTTAAACATCTTCTCTTTTTTCCCAGAAAACCCCACAAAATAAACCGTTATAAGTGATCTAAAAAAGAATTTTGTGAAGTTATGAAATACTCTGGCTGTGGTCTTAATTGGATGAGTTGTTGTCACTTCTGTCTCTCAAAACAGATGCTGCGCTTTAGTAGCGTGTTATCGCAGTGCTCTGTAAGAAAAAGCCGATAGAGGGCAGTATGTACGGGAAGTAGTAAACAAAGTATAACTAGTAAACTGTTCAGGAGTACTTTGGGTTTAGTACAGCTGATAAACGAAGCTGTGCAGAAAATTGTGGCTAAAGAATAAACTATTTCAAAGATGATCACAGTTCTGTTCACTGATATGTTGTTGAGTTCTCCACTTCAAAGAAATTCAGTTGATTACCTGCTTGATTGACCTGAAATTTAAATTAATACTAGACAGCTAGTTTAGCAGTAAGAACGCATGTGCTAACATTAGCAATCTTAGCATTCTTTCCTAAAAGGTTGACCTCCGTGAGCGATGTATGAACACATCGCTCTGACTGAGAGGTTACAGTTTATTCTGTCACATAAAAAAGTTTTTTTTCTGTTCCACTTTTCTGAAGTCGTTATTCAAGACAATCTACTTCTGGCAAAGTTTTTTTTCTCAGGGACCAGGAGGTGTTCCCAAACCAAATCTACTCAAGGAGGTGTGGGGTCCAGGTTTTAGGAGGCACCTCTGAACTCCTCTCCCTGTTTCTAAACTACGCCAACCAACAGAGGAAGTTGATGTCATCTGCTTTCATCCACAAACTCATCCTCCTGGTTACTACCAGTGACATCAAACCTGCATCACTGCTAACACTGCAACCACCTGCCACTCCACCTCTCGCTGTGTGAGCAGGAGCAGCTCCATCCTAACCTCCAGCTGATTTATCTTTTAAATGGAGACCTTTCATCTGCTCTCACTTGTTCTAAGCACACACTACGCTACACCGCCACGTGGTGATGAAAGTTTACCCAGAATGCACTTTTTTAAAATTTGCTCCAGTGATTTATCAGAGATCGGATCAAACACCCTGCTCTGATGGATCCTTCATGCTGATGCTCAGAGTCGGTGTCAAAACACAGAAACCTGGTTTAGTGTTTAGAGTGGACGTGAACCTGAATTAGGTTCAGGTTTTAGCAGAGCTTAAATGTGTTCTAGTCTTATAAATATCA